GTGGGGCCGTTGTAACTTTTGCTCACGCTCTCACTCACTCGCTTGTTCGGAATATAGCAATTGTGTTCCCTTCCGTGAGTCTTTTCTCTCCGACACTAGGCACTGGAGCGGGTCAGCAGCAGATACCACATATTGACGAATCAGCAGATATAACAGAATCTCAGCCACGACACCTATCAGGCTGATAATTGTATCGTTACGTATGCCCTAATTCGAATGCGCTAGTATGTGGTATCTTGGCGGAGACGGGACGGATAATGGCAGTCAGGCCACCGGGATCGGTGGTTTGCTCGAGCGTTCTTCCTGGATCATCCAGAAACCAACTCAAAATGCTTTATGGGTGGTCTTCTGGACGAAACGGTGGGCAGAAGGCTATACTTTGCAAGCACTGGCACATGCTCTAATTCATGCTTGTGAGGTTTACTGCATAGTTAAGACGATATGTGGACTCCAGCATTGAACCAGACGAACAATTTGGACAAGAGCAGGAGCATGTCATTGTTAGTTAGGTAAAACATCATGTGATGACTAAATACCGGTTAAACAGTTCGAAGATGGACACATTCAGTGCCTGAAACCATCTGAATGTTGCGCTTGCTTCTGAAGACAAAGGAATGATGCTCTATGGAAAGTGAGCTGCAAGCGTATTAAGTGGATACAACAAACAGGTTTCCGAAGCACAAGACAAGACAGGCCAACTAAAATAACGCTCTCTGAATGTACGGTACACAAGTTTGCTTCATTATTCCCAATGAGTGGAAAGGATGATGTTTCTTTATTGACGGGCTGATGGAATTGTGAGGAAATAGCCACTGGCCGATTGGCCACGGACTTTCAGTATTTCTTGGATAAGTGAAATTCACACACAAGCACTGGCGTGAATTGCTGGTGAGCAACGACGTTGTTATGCACGGTGGTGACAACACGCGATTCAAGTGAAGGCGCACGCGATTTGTGCCGACCTCACATTAAAAAAAATCGACTCTTTAAAGTTGGGAAAGTGTCTGATAACTGTTGAAGCCAGTGTGATGCAACAGGACGTTGGCAGCGCGAGTTGTATTGTACGCCGAGTAGTGTACTTTCGTTGTTCGTACACCGGCACACTGCTGTTGTAAGTTAGATTCGGTTGGCGATGGACGACTAAAAATAAAACGACCAGGTTCATTTAGCAACATAACGATCAGGCTGGTGTCAGTGTGGCGAGCGACCATCAGTAACCCATATGAAAAGTGATCCTTTCCAGGAGGAATCTTCCTCTGGATCGGACAAGGAGGTGCGTTGTTTGAGGGCGAGATCCTGAGGAGGCTCGCTGAATTAAGGATATTTTAAAGAGATTGCACAACCATACCAGAATCTAAAAAAGCGCCTGCTTCGCTAGATAATGAGACACTGCTGATTCGGACGGCAAGATCTGTGTAGGCTTCTAAAGAAGCCAGTAAGAAGCAATAGATCTAAGCGACTGTGTGGGTTACGGCGCCACAAGTCTGCCGCGAGGATGTGAAATTTGGTCGAATACCCGAATTGAGTGAGTCCAGATGTGAAAAGGCAATTCTCTTGGACTAATACGAAGGACGGGTGAACGAGATAGTCTTACGAAGCTATTGAGACGCACAAAGCCAGCGTCTTGAGGGGGTAAAGGATTCGGTCAGTAGCTTGGAAGAGGGGTTTGCTCATGATAAATTTACTTCCCCGGCTGCGTCACCAGATCATCCGACTGCTTAGGGAAATTCCCCATTGTTTTGTACTGAAGATCAACCTCTTTCATGCACAACAAGGGGTGCAGACGTTGTACAACGTCGGTGGTGATTTACAACTAGCAGAATAGATGAGAACAAACCAACTAAAATGGATATGCCAGATTCGTGCACAGGGAGGTTACCCACTCTCGAGCTCTCTTCCAGTAGTTGCGGCACGAAAAAGCGCGGTTACTCCAATCGTAACAGATTGAAAGGACTGAATCAAGAGATTTCTGTGCACAAGCGGTAGAGTTAAATTCGTTAGGACCGTGGTTCGATGGGTTACTCAAATACACAGATAAAACCGAATGGTGCCCGGTAAATATGATCGTACCAATACCGAGAAAACGTACTAGTCAAAAATTATTTACCTTCGGTCGTACTGGTTGAACGCATACTGAATACCAGCACGTAACTTCAAGTCGAGGGGTACATTGTGATCATACGTGAAACGGTCGAAATGGCGGGCTGAGTTTGTGAAACTCGGAGTCAGTGGGAACACAACCAAAGTATCACATGGCAACACACTGATGAGCATAGTAAGTGTGGTCATATTGAGGTACACGTAAGGTTGTGGCCTCAATTTGGATCACTTAAGCGCTGATAGTGGTCACGATTCTGTAACCAGCATCGAAAACGAAAAGTTCCATTGAATTAACGTAGAATCCGCTCACATTATTGGACCACATTTGCATCTCGTTCCGAGGACCAGGGTCAAGTAAACAGCGCCAAAAGCCAAAACCGAAATGGACAAATGAACTCAACTCCTAAAAAGTTCCACCTTACAAACTCACTTGTCAGGCTTAAGGTCTCGATGTACGATCCCATAGTTATGCAGGTACTCTAACGCCAACACAGTCTCCGCAAAATACAGACGCGCCAAATCCAATGGTAGTGGTCCACCAATTTGTTTCAACAAATTGGCACAATCCCCGCCCTCCACATATTCCATGACCATGCACAAACACTTTTTTGTCTCAAAGGTGCAACACAAGCTGACAACGAATGGGTTATCTGCAAAGCTCATGATATCCCTTTCGGCAAACACCTGTTCCACCTGGTTACGCAGCTTCAAGTGTTGCTTGCCAATTTTTTTCATTGCGAATCGTTGACGCGTCATTCGATGCCTTACGAGGTAGACAGCACTGAGGGGGCAAAGAAGAAGGCGAAAAGATCCTCAAACAGGTGCGAACGGGTTAACGAACAAAGATAACTGTTCAAGAAAGAGTCCATGGTATTTGATAGGTAGGATCAACGCGATGTAGATGATGAGGGCTTTTATTAATATGGTCCGTGAAACAGTCCTAGTACAGATCCAGAGGGTCCGGACGAATACAACACAACCGGTAGACAATGAAAGTGATGGATAGCACTCATCCGTCGTACATTCTACTGGCCACTAATGTGCCCTACTGGATGCCGATCGAGTGTTGTTGACGCCTGACAAGCCAATTTACGTACTACCGCCCAGTCCGACTAGAAAGCTCCCCGCAACTTTAGGAAATGCTGTGGATTCTCCAATGGTGGGTTACTGGAAGACTGTTGGGATCGCGGCGTGTATGATATCTGCGATGTCATTGCGTCAGCCGATTGGCAATCAACATAGATTTCCATCCGGATGACGCGAGGGCTCCAGCATGTCAGAATGGTAGTCAGTGCTGATGAGGCCGACTTTCCTCAACATATTCAATGTACAGAGGAGAAGCAGGATAAAAGTTCCGAAAACCTAGAGTATTGAGTCCTATAGGACCCAGTCAGATTCCAGTGGTCGGGGGAGCTGCATTGCATATGTACTCGAATTATTTCCATGCCATAACGAAATACCGAAACAGCTGACAAGGAACAGATTTTACATGGCTTGCGCAAAATAATCATTCATACTCAGCTCACTCCAGTGGAGACTAGACGACTCAGATGATAGGTGGCACCAATCTAGAGTGCCTGTATGCCAATAAAAGTCGTTTCGCCTCAAAACAAACTTCTGGCTATGGATGGGTTCCATTTTTCATCGGATTATGGAAACTCGCTATTCACAGAATAGAACTGCAAAGTCTGGTTGCTGGCTGGGATCAGGGATCGTACTTCACAATCCACTGATAAAGTGAGCAATCACCACACATCCGGATAACACAACAAGCTGTCCGACTAAGAACTCACAAAGTTATTACAAACTCACAAACATGTGCTCTGCCGTAAAGGTAATGCATCATCAGCAAGCTAATGGTGAAGATATGCTCAAGAGAGGACTAGAACAATCGGGACACCGCGAGACTAACTTATCGAGTAAACCCCAGCTCTTATTCTACTATCCTCAAAGGTGTCTTGAATGAAACCTATCACCTGATAATCACTACAATCATTGTTAACAACCCTTAACCACTATCTCAACGATACTAACGTGGCTCGTGGTCTGCTGAATTTCCAATTCACTTATCACCCCTCTACTGATCGTCACACCAAACATGGAATAATTCATCCAGCTTTCTGACTGGATTTGTTGCTCCTTTTCTGTCCAAATCGACAAAGCATGGGAACTTTTATAGTGACCGGATTTATTCGAAAAGTCTCACTTTCTTGAAAATCGAGCATTCGGATATTGGTATAATCTACATTCTTGTTGTAATCTGTAACCCTCTCATTAAGCGTCTTCTTCGCGGGCCATACATCCAACACGACCCAAGTAAGGAAAAAAGTGAGAAAGAGCGATTTTATTCCTTACCCATAAGCCCCGTTCGAGATCAGCTTGATGATTTCGAAATCCGCTTCGCAAGGCAGACGCGCAGGTGTGGCAGATTTGCCAAGGGAAGAGGGGATAGCCTCCACCGAATGGGTGGAGTCAGAGCCACTCAAAAAGCGTGCTCTCACGGACGTCTCAGACTGAGTACTGCTTTCGCTGTTCGCCGTAAGAGATAATCCACGGTTGTAAAGATTGGCTGACTGCTGTTGGTAGGAATCTGTTTGAAGTGAGCACAAAACGAATACGTGCAACAGTAAGATGCAATATAATATACAACAGATAAATAAAGGGCACGCGGTTAGCAAGCTAACTGGTTCTCAAAAAAAGTGGACGGTACTTTAATCATACAGAGAGGACAATAACCGACTAGTGATTTAGAGTCAGTCAGCTTGATGGTCCGATAGTATTGATGTCTCGATTACTGCGAGTAGACGTTTTTCATCATCACAGTAAGCCTTAAGTAGTATTGGGGTCTATTTTAATTCTAGCTGTCATAGTTTCATCCACTGATGGTGTTGGAAATGTGGATGGAATTAGGTGGTATGCTTGGATTGTGAAGAGACGATGAAGTCAAGGGGACGCTGTCGTAGTTTTGGGGGGCAGAAAGGGGAGGTTTACGCTTTGAAAGTAGTAGTTTTTGTGCATTCACGTCATCAAACACTGATGCGGTTGAGCCGTGTCTTCCAGCGTCTATAACTACTGATGTGGCTCATCGCGAGAGGGCGGGAGATGCTACGGCAACTTGTTATGATCTGCTTCACCCACCCAAGACCAAACCAGTCAGCTGTAACACCCTTTCGGTGCCAAGCTGTCATGCTACGCGAAGGAAGCACGAGGGTTTGGATACTACCAGTTTGCCCAAGCCTAAACAGGGGAAGTCGATAGGCGGAGGTCGGGCTCGAACCACAGACCCTCCGGTCAGAAAATTCGCGCTCTAACCACCTGAGCCATCTCGCCCCCACCCACCAAAGACCACACTGATGATGCCCTAGCTAATGATGACGAAACGCCTGCAAGTTTAGTGTCAGGCTCGGCGAACAGATTAACAGCCACCTGATCAATTACGAATGAATGGACCCGAGCCACCAATAATAAAGGGAGCTTTACGGTATTCATGTTTATTTGTCAGGTCCAATTATTATGTGGTTGAGCAAAAAGGAAGTGTAACGCGCGGTGAAGCTCTGAGTATCGTCCACAAACAGTGCGTGAACGATCATAATCCAACTCGGCCCACGATATTCGATTTCCATGATACATTCCCGTTGTAGTTTTTGTTGTTACACCATGAAATAATTCAGCATCAATGACTTGAATATCGAGACTCTCTGTCTCTCTCATCAGCTGTAAGAAGTGCGCACTTGCCGTACGGTGGTTCTAGCTGCCACAGTTTCGTTCACGGGTGGTTTTGCAAGATGGAGTAAATAGCTGCGTCTTGGAGGTATTAGCTGACACAATTGATGCGTAAATACGGGGTCGTCCGAAAACTTTTTATTGGGGAGATGCGCATTGAAGGCAATAGCTTGGTGCACAAGTACCAATAAAGGAGCGACTGGGCTATGCCTGACAATGTCTCCAACCAGTGATTTGCCCCGTCTCGGGGTCCCTATCCAGGAAGACGGCAATGGCCAGCGCGGGATACGGAAATAAAGACTCCTCAGTTTAACTTTACATAGCGCAACCTTCCCTCGAAAATTCAGGTCCAGATTGTCTCAAGAATGAAGAGCATACGGTCACTCCTGTAAGCGTGCATTAAATTCATTGCCGGTAACAAGGGTGCAAAAAACTGAACACAAAGTATAGTTTAATGGGTTCTTGAGAGCTCAGCACGACCCAACAACGGGCCAAAAATACTCTGGTGCGTCTTGTTTATGGTCTCTGATTGCGCAAACTCCCTCATCCCGAACGGAAACCTAACAGCGCTGGGTATGTGAGCGCGATACAACTCAAAAGTCCCAAACAGACAAATTTAAGGGACTGACCAAGGGTGGTGTCCTATGAGGACTGTCTCCTTAGAGGTAAGAAAACTGGTAGATTATGATCAACAAACAATCCATACGTTGCACCTTACACGTGCTACCTTGAAATATCGCTCTAGAGAAGTTGGCCGGTAACATGAAATCGGCTGCATTTGGTGAGACCATACTTCTGAGTGGGTTGCTGCGGTCAAGCCCTACATATGGAATTGGAAGACACCATTAATCTTATTGCAACTATTATTATTACTGTTACTATTATTACTATAAGTCATTGGTTGACGATCTGCGATGCGCCAGAGGTCCGCAGCGTTCCGCGTCCCGTACATGCCAAATAGTCCTTTGAATAAGAGCAAACGAGTCTGACATACGTAGCGAGTGGCAGCTTGACCGTAGTATGCGTGATATGCTGAATATATCCGTTGATCAAGGCATGATGCGCTGTATCGAAAGTACACAATACCTATAGCTGATAGCCCGCACTACTTTGTTGGTCACTGAGGTAGCGGTGGATTCAAGAGTTGATTGCAAACCATTAATTGAAAAGATGAGTAGAGTAATATTAGGTCATCGGTCACTATGGCAACCGTGTTGGTTGAGAACTAGTACTTATATAAAGGACATGAATGAACTGTACGGGAAGGAGATAAGAGTATCAACACGGCTGGAGGACATGGAGAAAATAAATACGTGAAGCGCGTGAAAATACAGTTTATGTGTGGTTCTTTAGAATATTACTTGTCACGATATAATGGGGCAAGAAACAACATAAAAAATCCGATAGCAACCTCTATGCTTGCCCACCCGTTACACGAGATCGGGAAGCCGGTGATTCGAACAAATTCTTAGCTTTTTCAAATCTTCCTACAGACTTGGGCAATCAGGTAGTATTTCGATCCACTCGATTCACTTGGGTTGCACGGCAAAAATGCATCGCAGTTGAAAGGTTATTTATTAATCCACTCTAACTGAGGAGATACTTTTATGCTGGTGTAAATGTACAGGATACTCACTATGGTTGTTGCATAAGACAGGATGAGTTAATCGTATCAGCAATTGACATATGGCTTGACACCCTAAAATGTGAATTTGAGTGCCACAGAACAATCAGGGACATCCTGAAACTGTGCTCCGAGAACAAGAAGCACCTACGTCACAGAACACCACCTTCCCGACGAGGTTACTTGGACACGAGGCGTTATGTACCACAGTTCGATAACCATTACTGGTCAGTTAGTTTGCGTTGCGCATTCTGTTGAAAGTTTTTGAGAAGATCAGTCAGTGCGCCTCCAGAATATTCAAAGATAATCCAGGGAACGAAACCATAAGCTTCTGATCAGAATTTCTGAGGCTCACATACGCGTTCTGAGACATCATTCCAAACATCAGATCGTCTTTTTCTTTCCGCAAGACGCACATTTTCCCTATCTGGACGGTTTATACGCTTGAATAAATTGTTTGAAGCTCCCCTTCAAGTAGTCTCGCATTATTAAGCTCACGAGAAAAAAGAGCTGTTGTTCGATTAACAGAAGAGGACAGAACATCAGCATCTACTGAACAGATAAATGAACACACGATCCAACGCAGTCTTCATTTTCTTGATATCGCATCAGCTTAATGTGTCAAACAAGGTAGAATTCAGTGAGCAGTGTCTTGGGGGTGCACCATACTCTAGCTAGCGACAGCAAAACCTGTCCACAACCACTGAATTTGAAGGTGTCTCTATAGTGGTTTTCTGTTAAAAAACTCCCGTAAGGGAAGGAGTTTTCGAGCAGTTCGCATCTCGCTATTTACATCTTTGGTTGTGCTCCATAATTAAATGGTGACGTGAGAAAGTGAGACTCGCAGAAGGGAGTTCAGATAAACGAAAAAAAACATCGGAACACAGAATGCCATGTGACGTTCTGAGTAACAAAACTGGAGCGCACTTTCTGAACAGCGATGAACTGTCAGTAACAGCCTAATTAGAGAAAGTAGCGCGGAGGCTGGGTGGAATCAACGGTGTCTGGAAATAGTCTACACACACATACACAGCGCTGACCCATCTCAGCAAGACAGAGTGTCACACTTAACAAGTACCATAATGAGGTCGACAATCATTAATTGCAATGGAACGAATACCAGACCAGTGGTGGTTCGTTGTCAAAAAGGTCAAGATAGAATGAAGCGCCACAAGTAACCTCCTTTCCAAACTACCACATACGATTATTTTCGCACACGCACACACACACACACAAGTGCACACAAAGCGAGTCGAACTGAATATGGTCATCAAGTTTAGAAAAAAAAAACGAAAACAACAAGCCAAGAAGTCCGGCAACTGTGACACCGCTCGGGATGCCCAGATAACCAAATTTTGATAACCGCAACGCATCAGTTCTGATGCGATTCATGCAAACCGTGTCCCTGGGAAGCATGGTGAACAACGGAAGTTAATCAAACCAAAAAATTATTTCTAGCTGCATTCCACTTGAGTAATCAGCCGGTAACACAGTTGGAAGATGCGAGAGGGTTGTAAAAAAAAACCGACGCGCCATTCTACAAATTGAGAAACACAGCACCACGATTCTGTGACCTAGATCAACACGCGCGCAAGAGAAGTTGAACCGTTCGGGAAAGACAAATCCCAGGGGACTGAGGATAGGAATAACGGTAGAAAGAGGGTAACCTAAAAGTGGATAGCGTCATCAGAGAAGAAAAGCAGAACCGACTATTCGTCCGAGACAAAGGAGACAGGTCTACCCCAGTAGGATGGATAAAAAAAAACAAATTAGTTTAAAGTGAGGGAGAGAAAAACAGCAAATCACCTTGCAGGACATTCTTGTTAAGACCTAACTTCGAGATGATGTAGAGTGGAACGTCGGCGGAAACAATTTCTCCCCGCCCACGGGCAGCTTCCATGGGACCGAAACCAGACGATGTCTGACGCCTGACCTGGTCCTCTGCTACCTCAAGCATCTGATAAAATTCTCTCGGGTCGAATTCCAGACATTCGAGAAGGCGTGCGGGTCGCGCAATGATGAGTAGCAGTCTCCGAATTAGAGCGACGACGACGGGAACGGAATCGGGTTCGCGGATCCGGGTCTGTGGAAAGAGGGAGAGGTACGGTTAAACGGAATAAAGATAGCAAGTGGGAACAAAAAATGAGTAACGATAGAAGTGAAAATGAACCCACGTCTTCAACAAGTTTCTCTAGGTTTTCGGTCATCTCGTAAAAATACCGACAGGTGACGATTCTGGACAAGGCCTTTTGCAAACAATCCCTTGCGTGTTGCACGACTTGACGGTGCACAAAGCGAGCAACAGCAGACCACGACACAGTGTCCTCTTTTTCCAGTTCGTCAATGAGTCGCTGAAGACGCTCTTGCATTTGAGCAGAAGCCTATAAATATAAAGGACAGGGGAAAGTGAACTAGTCATTACCAAAATAAGTTACCTAAGAAAGGGTGATAGAAATCACACAGTATCTTACTTTGGGAAAGCGTTCGCGGTAAACATCGTTGAGCAATAATATTTCCTGTTCACCAGTTCCAGAGAAACGTAACGGACTAGAAAAAGAGAATAAATATAAAGTAGTATTTTGCTACTGAGGAATCGTCACAAGCTTCTACAAATAGGAGGAACTAATATGCATTGAGATTGAAGGTAATTTCCTCGAATTTGCTTCTTGGTCCTTTTAAAGAACAACGGAGTAACTGAATAAGTATTCATGATGAATCGTGATATTCCAGAAAAGTGCCTAAAGACCAAACTGCGAGTAAAATGCAGAATAGCAATAGTCTGAAAATCAGAGGACAGAAACGCTGATTCAAGCTGGAGGAACCTCTTGTGCCGACGAAAGATACACTGACATCGGAAGAACCAAGGGATGCCTAGATCCGATGCGATTTAAGCCTTTAAACCGACTCAATCTTACGCAGAGTAAAAGGAAACATGGAGTATCCGGGGAAGATGTACACTTGTATTCGTAGACAGACTACTGAGTTAATGAGGACACAGCCTTAAGCAAGAAAAAAGACAAAGCAACAGGAAATACGGGGAGTACGAATAAACAAGACCACTTTAGGTATTGTAGTGCTTTACAGCTTTTCCAGTGACGTTCAGCGCTCTGTAGGTTACATTTGGAAGTACACAGATCTTATAAAAAACCAAGTAGTATTCAAAATGACATTTATGCGAAGTTCATTCAATATTTATGACCATCTGCACAAATGCCAAGGTTATGGAAAAAGAGCACGCGGAACTGAAGCAATAGGTTGTTTGTGGTGAGACAATTTGTACCACATTGCCTGGGCGCAGCCTGGTGCCCATTAGCATAGGGGTAAGTGGACGGCGCAGTGACACGACTGAAAAGACCTCACAGAAGAAATTGACAAGTATTTCACTGGCGACGAAAACTTGAGGCTGTGTCTGGTAACCGCTTGATTTAGTCATTTGTTTGTTCACCGAGCTGAGCGATTTGGCTGTAACTGGATCATCCAGATCAGCGAACTTACTAACGACGGACTATGTACTATGGGCTAACAACGGTCCCTTCAAAAGCGAACGCCGAATTCTCATTGCGGATTTCAAAAAGGCGGTGGTAAAATATTGGAATGCGAAGGATAGTGGGGATCACAAACGACGCTTCAAGTAACAGGGATGGGTCAATACTAGCTAGGTAGTTGAAGCTGCGTCTACAAAGACAGTGGAAAGAGTACGCCAAACTCGCTGAAAGCATCCACATCACTTGTGTCTGGGAATTCAGTTAACCCTTCCCCCAAAAAAGTAGGCCCTAGTGGCTAATGCGATGTAATGTTTGTAAAATATTGGCGGTGAAGATTTGGTTCGGCTAGTCAGCTACAAGCAATGTACCAAGGTATTTCGATTCAAACTGTGTTCAATAAGGATAGTCACGGATTGGAGGCGATGAACTAACAAATTAACTGACATCCAAACACCCCACCGTGTTCAGGATAACACTCCGTAAACACTTAGAAGTGCCCTTTTTCCGTACCAAAACTCTTTTATCGATGAGCCTGACTAGTCCAGCGGATACCATCGATGGCTCGGGTTCGATCTCTAAGAAGTCCTTGCAGATGACTGTCGGCTCCTGTCTTGATGTGTTGTACATTTGTTCATTGATAGAGATGTAAACTGTACGTTGTGGGCTTTTGTGAACGAGTATCCAGTAGAAGCCGACCCATGGACATGCTTTCAGTCGATCGACAGCTGGTCTTATGTGGTGATTAGAACTATATTACTAGAGCAAACGACATTGCTTGAGGCAGAAAACGAAGTTCTCCGTAATAAAATTATGTTTTCTGCATAAAGATATTCAATCTTCTTCGCTCACTGTAAGTTTATCGACGTTTAACATTTTCGGTCACAACGAGAAACTATGTGACATGACATGCACGTGAACCTGAAAGAAGCTGTGGGAACAAATCTTACACTTGAGCAGGGCATGCCAATGGCTGCAGTGAATTTTGAACTCTATGTGCTAGGATGATTCCAACGAGTGTAGTGGATGAAACTTCAAGCAATGCTAAAAACTTGTGTTGGGAACCATAATGTGCAGACAAGTACCTCAAACTTCGTGAACGTGTTCTCACACCACCCGCTGTATTAATGGGAGAAAAGGAGCCAAAACCAGAGCTTCCAGACCGGTCCAACTGATTTCTTTGGGATGTAGTAGGAGAATAAGGTTTGGACACCGACCGAGCGTTTGGAAAACTAACATCATTGTTCGAACATAGTGGAGAGGGCATACGAGGAATGGGAGATCGATCGCCCTCGGGCATCAGAGTTAGGTCTGTCGAGGAACGCTGGAAACCAAAAGCATCACCACCTTGGTCTCCAGATCGCTTAGGAAAATTCGGCGAGGGAGTCAATGTTGGCGGAGCAAGATTTGACCGATCCACAGCATGGCGGAACGAAGCAGAACGGTTCATGGTGTTCGCGGTTGTGGCTCGTTGATCCATGACTTTCGATGGTTTAACTCCCACGTTGGAAGAGCTGGTCGAACAAACGGCCATTGGGGCCTGTGTCGTGTGAGGCGGATAGACCTGTTCCCTAGAAGAACACCGACTTCGCTGAAAAGCACGCACAGTGGAACGATGAATATTAGATCGCCGTATTGTAAACAAGCATGGGCGTCGGAATAAAACCGAACCGCTAACCTCACAGAGAGCCAGGTGAAATACATCGGTAGCACTGCGTTTTCACCTAAACACAAAAAAATTCCACGTTCAACAGAAACTGCCTCCTTCCACAAAGTCTTACCCAATGGAGCAGTGGACTGTGGTAGCACCCTAACTAAATCGCGCTACAGCTGCGTGCGCTGGGATCCAAAGAAACAAGCTGTTCTGCGTAGCTAAGTCCCGAATAAGGTATAATATCAAGGAGTGTAGGGCACCCATACAACAGCATCACCGGCGAAACCAGAGGGTGGAACTTAGACCCGCACCATTACCAAAGATAGTATCGTTCACTGCTGTTTCAAGTGGGACAAATGCCAAAATGTCAGGTCAACGGGTGATATAGCTACTTGGTGAAGTGTAGCTTGTAAGAAGCTATTGAGGTCACCTGTTCACCTTAGCACATTCAAATCTTTGACACACCAATCTAGGTAGCTGCTCTCCGAGTTCTCACACATGCGTCTCACTGAAAAAGTGACAAACGTCCTGACCGTCTACTATAACCACATGGTAGTTACCTACCCGAGAGATGGAACCACTAACCAAAAAACCTTTTATTGTGAATTATATCCTTTTCCAATAACAAGCCCAGCTATCTGAACTGCCCCAGTCACAATTTGACCCATTATCGAAGATCAATATCCCATGCGATTAGGGAAGATTTGACCTTTAGTTGACCTAACCCTGTGTTTCATGTGTCACCTAGTCTACCGAGGGGAACATTCGCATATCCCTGTGTTTCAGATGTGGAAGGTTTAATAACACTTACTAGGGACGCCTGACTCGTAATGCGTATTAGGATGTCCGATTGCCATTTGGGTTACTTGGTCATTTAGGGCATATAGTGACCTCGGTTTCGAATGGTTTTCGTTCACAAAAATTGTGGCTAAACAAATTTCGATGCCATGCATGTTGAATTTATTCTGGCACATCTATAGGTACATATATTTTTCGTTTTCTTCAACTGCAACTAGGATTAGTTCGACTCAGCCAAACCGCTGAGCCCTCACACTAAGAACAAAACTCATCAGTGAGTGCCAGTTACAACCCAGGATGAGATCACAACCCGAAAGAGTCACTGGCTGAGTCCGTGAGTATCGCGCACATTGAGTGCGGCTAGCGGGCCGTTACTTATAGGACCAACGAAGTACTTTTAATAGCTCAGCATACTGTTTCAGGAACTCTTTAAACCAAACCAAAATGGTTTGTAAGATCAGTGAATGGATGCTTTGGTGATGTGCTGGAATATTGAATGTCCCGAATTATAATGTGACAGAAGATATCGCCAAAGATCGATGGCCTGAATACCGTTTCGCACGCTGTACTCGGCGAACATCGGTATACCTATCCATCCGAACCAAGCTTGCTGTGAACCTTCAGATTCACTCAACTTTCTCTCGAAATAAATGTATGTAGGACGGAACTGTAGCAACAAACGTTGCATTAAACGATGTCACTGGCTTTAAAACCCCCACTCTCCTGTTTCACTAGAGTACTTAACATAAAACAGGCACTAACCGATACATTGCTTCCACTTTCTGGGGTATTGGTTCCGTAACCGGAGGAAGGAAGCGAGGTAAGGGACCAACGTCGGCTTTCTGATACTCTGTCCGAAGAAGAACGAGAAGCACGGGTGGATAGCGTAAGTTTGATAGGATATTCGACGAGATAACTTTATAACATACACTGAAACGTCCTAGAGCCACGAACTGGTGAGCAGGTGGGCAAACAAGTGCTTGTCGAAAGACGCGTGATTCCGGTGCACACTGGGCTCTTCAACCGATCATGTTTTGGCTTAAACAACCTGGTATATCGTAGTTTTCACGGTTCATTCGAGGTGAACCAATAGATTGACACAGTTGGACGATCCGACTGGCGAAACAGTGAGGGGCCAGCATTATTACCCATGGTAAGATGACATATGAAAATCGTCATGGAATCCGAAGTTGTTGCTGGTAGGAAACGTGAGAATGAGTAAGAGGTCGCAAGTTGGCAAACATTTGAAGAGGCGGGGAGAAAGATGGTTTAGCTATCAATGATCATTGTCCCTCTGTTAAGAACATTGTCGCGAACGAACACTTTCAAATACCTTCCGACAAACCATAGAATGAAGCTCGAACTGAGCATACGGCTGTGTTTACACAAAAAAGTCATTGGTCAGTATGGCATAAGATGGGTACATAACGTAGTTTGATTGGTTGCAGTCTCCCGATGATCTAGTAATAGCCAAGATTTTTCGTTTTAGATTTCCGCTCCAGTGGTGCGATTCCTACGATACACGCCGAAGTGGAGTTATGTTAAACGAAACGACCTATGCGCTGCTTATCATCGCGGTGTCCCGGATGTTAGCTTGAGAATCGACGACCTCATGCGTTCGGTCACACGCTGAAAGCAATTTGGCGAACGGCGTTCGATCAGCCGATTAAGGACTCCGAATAAGCTAGGTGGTTTGTGCAATTAGCCTTTTACGTACAAATGGCTAACATCCCACCACCGTTGGATTTTTGCGGGCCACATGGGTTCGGAGATTATTACGAGTCTTTGTGGTAGTGGTCTGCTTGTACATGTATCGTCTCATTATTCATTGGCCAATGCGTTCAGACAAATTTACGGTAGTAAGGAAACAGTTAAGGTAAAAACAAAGCGCGGGGGGATAAGATGTTATGCTAACATTACATTAAACTACGCTGTGTTTTGACTTTCAAAGTATTCATATTATATAGACCACATGGCGCTCAATCTTTTTAACACCAACTGAGCCGAGTTTGGTCCGGAATTCTTAAGCTTTGTCAACAATCGGACCACGTTGACAAATAGAATTTACAGTAGCCTTGCTAGTAGGTATACCGATCAATGGTTGATCTTTGCTACAGAGGGAGCTACACTTGCTGCGCAAAGGTATTTGTGGTGTGTCGACTTCGCACAGATTGCCATGCAATAAGCTCGAGTTTTAGCTCCTAAGTTCCACGATAGCATAATTCTCTAATCTACGTTATAAGTAACGAAACAGACCTCGAACGAAACAGTTAGTGCATCGGCTGGACTACAAAATTTTCTACCATAGGGAGAATTTTAAGGGTGCCGTGGGCAACTGTCAGTCTTAATTGCCAATAATGCGCAGTAAAAGGTCAACGGTTGCGACAAGGCCATTCGATCGAAATGAGCCATTAGACCAAAACACAAGAATCATTATTATTCGTTGAATGCCAATAGATTAAACGAAGCTATCCGGTTTTGTTTATTCCGTATATGGCGGTGGTCACAAGTAGATTGGTTAATTAAATTCTGGGCAAAAAATGGTTATCTGTGTCCGTCAACCAACCATCGATTGATCTCTACCTAGAGCGCGAAAGCCTCTCACGCAATGCTGCTATCTTGGTCTGTCACAAATCAGCATTCGCATTCAGCGTTGGTTCGTTTTGCTTTCCGCCCTACAACCGTACAGTCCGATGATAGGTTGTTTGAAACGACCGTTAGATAAATTGCGTTCGGGTAGTGCAGCATAAGGACGGACAATATCCTACTTAAACGAATGGTAGTCCTTGATCGCTTGACCAACCGGCCGACCAAACGTCAAACAGAAATGGCTCGTCAGGATATTCGCAACCAATCCAACACTATCTTCAGCAACAACTGCATCCGAGTCTGGAAAATTTCCTGCTAAATGCAAGAAATAGAACCGATTTGAGACAGTCTACCACAAACTACACGCTGTTCAGGAGAGGGAAAAGATATAAAGTGAAACCATATGCTATCGCATATGGTGTAGAAAATGGTATGAAAAAATAAACGGCGTCATACACTACGTTTGTGTACAATAGTGCAGGGTACGGGCAAGGACATTAAGGCCGGGCGTCGAATACTTTTCATGCCACTTCAGACAGCGCACGATCGCCTAAAACGTGCTATCCGATATTTGGAAAGGTTACATCTGACAAAGATTCTCATTTAGTCACACACGATGAACATATGGTTTCGAAAATTTCTTGTTTGGTCCAACCGGAAAACGTATGTACAAAATTCTTCCAGCGTTTCACTTGATGCAACGATGGTTGAAACTCTATCTTTGAGGTTGAGGATTATCGTATAGAGACTGAAAATTAGTTCAGCTGAGCGAGACACTTACACACCATAGCTAGTTCATAGTAGCTACCGATAAAATAGTTTTTGAGGGAAACAGAATGTCATGAGCAGGGAACGCTCAGAGCACTGAAAATTTTGAGTGCCAATTGTGCTCAGGTGTGACACCGGCGCTGATATAGTTTTGACGGACAAAATTGACGGTTATTACAAATTACAACTAAATCCAGAAGAATGAAAGAAGAGGAAGATCAGACGCACAAAATAGAAGGGATGGATTGTACGTATGAAAATCGGACGTCAAATTTCAAAAACAACTTTCAAACTCGTTAACCTAATTGGGTTTATTGTACTTCGTGTCCATGATCTGTCGACAGTACAAAAACCCAACGGTTCTTTGAGACTAATATTGAACATGCATAATTTGTTATACCATAGCAAGGCAGCGAGTCAGTCCATCAACACTTGTGTTAGCATGAACTGCACGATACTTTCGAATCCATCACATCCACAGAGGATCTCAATGGGAACAATAAATTTTTCGATGTCACACGTACACCTAAGGATTCATGGTAGACCTCGAGATGGCTGGGGTTAGGGCGCGAACTTACTAACCGGAAGGTCCGTGGTTCAAATCCAAACTCTGTATCTTGATTGCTCTTGTGTGAGCTTGGGCAACCTGGCGGTATCAGAGACCTCGTGTGGAATCACAGCTAGACACTCAAAGGGTGCTACAGCTGAACGGTTTTGCTCTTGGTAGAAACTGTTACCAAACCACCAATCTATTCCAAAAAGGTGCAGTAAACGGTACCAACCGAATACCCAAAAGAATCCCTGGTTCGCTGATGAACCTAACTTCGCCAATTTGACGGGGTGACTATGGACTCTCTACTGTGACTTCACTGTTTTAACGAGTGAATTCGAAGCAGGCCCCATGAAACGTTCCAATGAATCGACGTGTTACTAGCGTTGACATGTTAACGATGAACTTGTCGTTAGCGGCCACAAAAAAGTAACTCAAGCTTACAACGACTGAACCTAGCCAGTTCGTCCATGAAGGTCGGTGCATGGGAAGAAATGACTAAGAAGTTCCACTTCGTGGGCATGGTATCAACCAGACAAGACAGTAGGTGATTACAGAATGTCCATTTGGCAAAAGCATGAAACAGAAGAGAAGCCTCATTCACAGTTTATGTGATAGGGTATTCATAATTTGCCCTTATAACGTCCTACATAACCTCAAACCTTCCTCAGGGAAGACAACTCTCCAGGGAATTTTACTGCGTAAAAAGTGTCAAGTTGTCACATACTATTCAACAGCGATCGGCAAACAGTGGCTCAACCGTGGACTAAAAAGCCACAGGCAGAACGTTCTTCGTCATCAGACTTTACGATCCCGACGACTGTTATTAATCAGCGTGACAGATCGAGTGTTAGTCCATGTCATAAACATGTTAGTATACTCGTTATTATGCAGAGTATATGGGACGTATGACATGGTAAGGCAGTCAACGAACACGTGTCACATGGCCTTATTGATAAGACATTAGCCGACAAGCATTTAATCGATACAATACAGACCTCAATAAAACTCCCCGAGTCCCTTAGAGAACGCAATCACGCCAACCCCAATGGATGCAAGCTTATATTAACCCCATGACCGGGGCCATTGTTATCAGACTGGGCGATCCTAAGATGTACCGTTAAAGGCAATTCCTCCATACACTCCAGACTCCAGGGTTGAACAAGTCAGTGAGTTCACGTGCATACAAAACCGCACACCCACAAACACCGGCCGTTGATCACTTCCACCCCATCTGCATCTCAGAATCACCCTGCTCATGACCCCGGCCCGGTTGTCTGATCTTGTGACAACCAACAACAATGTTCAATGTTTTTTGGTCATATTTCACTAGGTAGCTACTTATACATCACAACTCTTAACCTTTAGACATGTACAATTTGAGGAGAGGTTATCGAAACCCCATGTTCATCAACCCTTGTGGCCATTCGAAAATTGCTCCGGTATAAATTTGGAACTGTATGAGCAAACGTGGAAATCAAGATAGACCTACGACCATCTCGTTTCGCCTTCTGATCTCCGTACGTTCTTGTTAGGATATCGGAATAACAGTTATGAAGTGGGTCACAGACTACCGTCAGATTCGCCATGTAAGGAAGCCAGTGTAAAAGTAATGATTAAACTGGAACTCTTCTAGTGCGCCGAACGTACTATGAGATGGAGATGACTCGTGGGTTTCAACTGTGACTGATTAGCCAGCTCCTTCATATTTTTGACAACTTACGGCTTGGTTTCTCAAATAAACTTGTTTCTTGCTATCGAACATAAAAATTTGCTTTGCAGAATACCGATAGCCTATTCAGACCTAGAGCCTGTTAGTTGGTAGTCGATATTTCCTCGTTGCTTGTGCACAGATTCAGCGGAAAGAGCACTACTAAAATGAAACCCCTTAGACTGAACATTCAAAACATTCCAAAGGAACTCTTTTACATAAAACATACTTCATGGACGAGGCGGCGTCTCTCCAGAAGGTACAAAAGTATTCCCCCGACAGGTCACAACACAGCAGAGGAAAATCCAGTGGGGAAATAAAACCATTACGAATTTCCACTTAGGGAGATAAAACATCGGGAAAACTATGTCGCGTGAGAAAGATGTGTATCATATTGCCCAATACAAACTTTCACGGCCCTTATAAACCAAAATATTTTCAGCCCAATGAAGAAATACGCACGCAGTTTCGAACTCTACCAGTCTGCAAAAACCCAAACAGGAAGAAAATAAGGAATTTTGCGATTCTATTTTTCTTCTGAGGAAAAGTCTATTCTTGATCATTAATCAGTGTATCACTTCCGTTTGTTCAGATTTTCGACACTTGGAGACAGATGATATTGCCGGAAGTTCTTGAAAAAGTATGAAACAGAACTCTGTTACAAAACTTTTTACACCCACCAAATTTAGTTATACAAACTGTATTGTCATTAGGAAAGAATAGTCAAAACGACCATCAGTCGAGGAACTGCATCGTACGACATTCACTCCCTGTCCCAGAAATCGACAGAAAAACAAACAGGTTAAATAAACCGATTTGGTGATCAGTGCATTCTCCTACTCTTACTTATCTAGTCTTGTCAAAACCTGAACTGATAATGGATGTCAGAAACTAATCCACAAATCGTCTGAAACAGGTGCTTGACATCCAGCGTACACGTGTGTATCACGTGTTGTCACTGATCTGGTGTTGCAAACGGTAGAGTCGCACTAAAAGAAAACGTCAGCCGTAGAAAATGACAACAAGCACAACAAAAGGATCGATTGTTGGAAAGATACAGAGAGGGGGGTGAGAGAGAGAGCAGAACTTACGGTCTTAGTAGACGAACAACAGCAGAATTCTGCACATAACTCAACGTTATAACTGCACACTGGGCGAATCCCTGTACACATCAGAGTCGTATGGGGTCAGTTTGATTGCAAAATTTCATCATCACCATCATCAAAGACAGTGACATCAGTATGGATACTGATGCTTCACTACCGTTTCATCGGAGCTCGATGTGCTTAGTTGAGATGGGGAGTGTAGCGGTGCGTCAGTCTTTTTGCGCACTACTACTCAGTGTATGAACAAATAAGCGGAGAGTATAGTTCTGTGAGCGCAAGGTTCAAGATGAATGTTAAAACGTAGAAACCAAAACCAACAGAACCCATCTCAAAAACAGCTACCTATGACTGCCATGCGCAGATGGAATACAAAAAACACAGATGCAAGTACAACATTCAACGGTTTCTAGTGGGGTCCGAACGCCTAAACGAAAACAGCGATCCCACAAAAAAGGCTAACACCATAGTGCGGCTGAACTGAAGTCAACAACACACATAGTATCAGGCGTCAAATATTAATTGGACATTCGACTGGTGATCGATCTTTCAGCACAGTGCACAGCTGCCATGCCATCCGAAGGAAGCACAATGGCTGAGAGATCACCCAATCCTAGACAGGGGCATTCGAGATGCCGGGGTCGGACTTAACTGCGGACTTTCCGCTCAGTGATTTTACGCCTGTGCGATCTCGAGCTCATTCCTGTTAGTGTAGACGGTGGTCAGGGATCGACTACAAGCTGAGTTGTTTTCAATATCCTCGTTGGCCAAATATTTTCATTGAATTAGCAAGATCTTTCGAGGTTTCACCAATCAAGTTTGGCGTGCTTGGTCTCGTTTGCGGGCCATACACACACTGCATATTGTTGGAATGGAGTCTGGGATTGTATGAGCTATATGGAATATTTAAAGCTCAAACCCAGGAACGTATTCACGTTCTATTGAGTTTCATCATAAAGATATGGGGTATCGGGGGCGGGTGAGCCACCTGAACCAGCGTCTGGAAGTTTAGGCACCTCGGAATGGTTGTGGCAGACTAGCAATAAATTGTTATCCTTCTCCAGCTACCTTTATTCTTTTCCACACAAGACGGTTTTCAAATAAATCATGGTTGCACGAGAGTAAAGCAGGTGTTGAACACGGATGTTGTGCTGTCTGTTTTTACAGGTCAAGGCAAAGATATACATACTCAGTGCATAGAATGGCATGCACCCCGTCGTTTCAGACAGCCATTCGCAGTGAAGAAAAAACAAGCCATTGAAATGACATGTCCCCGAACTGGACTAAACCAGATTTGCCGTTACTCAACTTCTGAATGCTAAGATTTTTATTACATTTTAAATTTTACATTTTGAGAAAAATCCTAGAAACGATGTTACTAGCACTCCTTGGAAAAATTGGAAGCGGTGTGTGAATTCACGTTATAGCATGAAATGGTAAAGCTTGAGAATGAAAACACAGCGTAAGCTGCACACCACTGCGAAGACTAGTACTGTGACGCACGCGCTCAGTCTGCAAAGAGAAAGTGCTAGAACTGATGAGCACCTCGAAAGTTGTGGACTCACCGCACTCACTCTCAGAATAACAAACTAGCAGAATCGTCAAAGAAAACACACAAGCCTTCACCACACCACACCTGGTGTTTTGCTCAACGATCCTGAACATTTTGATGCAACACATGGTGTCACAGGTTGACGTGTAAACAATGTTGCGGTTGTATCTCGTTGAAAGGATTCGCTACTAGAGAATATGCTAAATGATGGCGCACGCAGTAAGCACACTATTCTATTTCAAACTTACAACCTGTTGTCCAGTCGAAGGCGTAAACCAGTGTGTCGCTTCTCAACACCAGAAGCACCAGGCTGATGTAGAGTTGTGTGGGGACCAGCTAGAACAGTGAAAACAAACGCCGGGAGTAATGAGAACGCACATACACACACACACTTGCCGACACCAACAGAAAAAAGACAAAATTGTTTCAGCATTTCGATTATGACAGATTGAAACCTGAAAAAATCGAGTAGTTATACGAACTTGAGAGATTGAAGTACGGGAATATCTGTACCGCAACGTTCCGGAACAACCGACAAGTTTAGTTACGTGAAGCCGTGCCTTAACAAACCAGTGATTATTCATCGGCGTCATTTCTCTTGAAACGCTAGCGCGGGCTCAGGTTGCCTACTTTTCAGTCGCATACTCAAGGAGTGAGCCAATCGGATAAAAGAAGGACTTACTGAGACCTACTTTGTCTGTAAAGAACCAGTTCACTTCAGTGAAATGGTTTGGAACGTCGTGGCCATCCACTCAGAACTAAAAGGAGTTCCCTGTCGATTTCAGATATTTTCGACCATGATGACGTCAGCCAGATGCTCATACGACCACTTACTCTACGGTAAGGCTGAATGACAAGTAGACAGACACCGACAGTAATTTGCATGAAGTGAATATCGGAGGTTAGCCGCCGTGTATGTATGAGGAGTGCTAGCTATGGCTGGAACAAGTGAAAGCGGAACATCAACTACCTCAAAGAAGTTTGCACTGTGGAGATAATTTCGCTGATAAAACAGATTCAACGAACCTCATTAACGTCCTGACAGTGAGCTAATACAACTAGGAATAAAACGGTATCTAAAGCGTAGGTGCTAGTAATGCCAGGATTTGGTATCACCTCGGTCGCTTGGGAAGCCATTGGTTCGTTTTATTAGATGTTTACTCGCAAACTTCCAAACGGCATGTAGTGACTATTTCAGGTATCCGGACTGAAAAGTTGTGTAGGCTCCATACAGATGGCCGCCTTGGTGTGCGACCCGTCATTCGATCGATCAATCACTACGCAATATTTAAACTAGGACAGTTACGTTACCACTTTTTCGGAAATCGATTTTTGGATGCACCCAAATGAAGTTGTTCGGTTCTTCTCGGGTTTGTTCCGAAACTGGTGAGGGGATCTGTCTGCAGTGGTTTGCGGAAAACGCCTTGCTAAGATCAACTGACGTATTCTAAGAGTAGATTTCTAGGCTAAAGCCATGTACACTGGTTGCACTCACTCCACCCACACTTCCGTTTGTAATTCGAACTAGAACAGAAACCCCTTTCGCACTAGGCTTGGACACGTTGATACATTTGTTAATCGCCGTTACAGATATCACTGCAGCAAGTATGGATACGGACCACACAAGTGTTGTTCTGTTATCAGTGGGGTATAAAAACCATGGCTATATTGGAGTCCGTCGTAGCCATCTACCCTATTAGTACCCCGAAACATAATCATCGACAGCATTACATCAATGTTCAACACTGATGTTTTGTCGCCGTACTTCCATACAGGACCCAGTTGTGAATCCATTCTTAATATTATCCAGTGGTGAAGACGGACATTTTCAGTTCGTGGGAAGATACTTCTCTCATAATAAGACATACCTGAAAATACTGGATTTGCAGACTAAGAATTCACGATATCTCCTAGACCTAGCCTTCACGATCAATACCCCTGGGGTTGGGGATGCTGCGTCTACCAAGGAAGTCCTATTAACTGGATTTTCGTGATGCGTTTTCACCACAGTGAAAAGCGAAATTGGTTGTCAGGCCTTATAACCTGGTTGATGGTTTACTTGTCCGATTAATCGGGGTTCCCGGATGAGACACTTTTTACTGTCTTTATCACATCGAAAAAAACCGGGTACCCAAGGGTTGCGTTAGCAACGCGCTGAGGGCCTGGAATCCAGCGTCCCGAAGGCTCGTGGTGACCCGTCTCGAAGGGACCCACATAATCTTGACTGTGAAGGTTATTTCCGTCTCCACTTCTGTGCCAAACAACAGACCACACATGTGTGGTCTGCACTTCCCAGGTAAACGAAAGAAGTGCTCCCAAAATCCCATCAACACAGCACCACTGAGCCACTCGGAGAATCAGCAAATACCCTTCAGACGATCAGTGGGTAGGTTTGAAAATTTCTATATAACGAGCCGCCGTAACTAGCAAGACTGCGTGGAATAATAGCGAAAACACAGGAGTTCGCTATTAAGAAGCCAGCGAGAGCCCGCGTGACCAAATTGGCTGATTTTCGGACACTCTGGAGAAAGGTCACCAGATCAGCCAGGAGAGAATACATATAGGGGTAGGATATAAAATCCGACATGGAATCTGCTTCGAGCGCTGATGATTTCACTAAACTATTCCGTCTGGTAAGCTTGACTTCGGGAAACCTTCGGCTTCAACAATACTTGTTACGTGGAAAAATGCAGTTTCTCAACAACCAAAAGATGAACCGATGGGTGGAATGCTTTAAACAACTGCCTAATCATCCAGCTGCCAAAACTCCAGACTTCAATACTACATTACGTCAACTGTGAGTAGCCAAGTAAACCGGAGATTACCAGACAACTGAAGAGCAGAAACGCTTCGAGAGAAGAAAAAATTCTTTCCGACGTCTATAGATCGTGCATCCCAGCAGTTCTCGAACCATTCTACAAACTTTCCCTTCAACCTGAAGTTGACACTGGATTGCGAATTGTGCAGACGTAGCAACTGACCACCGTACCTAGACGGCGTGTATTCGAGACATTTCTGGAGTCGAATAATCCTATTTCGTTCAAAACAAAATTATAATGGCATTTCACCAGTTAACATGGGAACCACATAAAGTGAATGGTGCGAAGAAATCAAACGGTCATTCGATAGTGATACTTGCTCACAACAGATTCCGACGATATTTCCCGATCTTTTCAATCCGAAGCCTCTGAAAATCATTTCTCACTCTTCAGAGGAGCTTGATAAACAATCGGTAGCTTTTTTATTTCTAATGTGGATTGAATTTTTACTGAAGTTACTCTGTTTTGTCTCTCGGCAACTAACTTAGACGCCTGCCCCCTGTGTTACCGGATCTTAAATGGGTACTGATCAGGACTACAAGCTGATCAGCCCAGCATAGACACCCCACAAAACGGAACGGAGGCCAAGTGGAGATGCTGCGAGAGGTGTGAAACACTACGTTGCTTCCTTCCTGTCTACTTATGGAAACCGGTGACTGTTAGGTACTTCGACGTCTGGGTGTAGGCACCGGAGTCATCGAAACTTGTGAATAGTGTCAATTACCTCGTTTCACGGGCAATTAATTCTAAATGCAGCTTTGCGCATTTTTCAAGCGTGTCTTATAGGTATGCTGTCCTATTACAAATGACGCATTCGCAAATGAACTGCAAACCTTTCCAGATTACGAGACGAGCAACTGAGAAAACTGAGTGCCTTTGATGCCCACAGTGATATACCAGAACGCCCACTATTGCTGGTCGTTGGCGTAAGTAAATAGGAGGTAGTGTATCTGAATAGAATCACGCAGTGTTTCGAGCCTCACTTTTGTTTCGTTCCGTGAATTTGTTGGACAAACCAATCTGCTCTTTTGGTGATTCTGTACACTGACACGACGAGTGTACGCTAATGTATATATGGCTTAGTGGTTAGAGCACGTATTTACTGACCTGAAGGTTCGCGGTTCGGACCCGATCTCTGTCTCTCGAATCCTTCAGTCTAGGCTTGAACAATTTGACAGTATCCCAGCCCTCGTGCTCCGTTCTCGTGGCATGGCAATTGGACACCCAAAGAGTGCTACAACTGAACAATATCTATTACCTCCCCGAACTAGGGATGAACCATCGGTCGTTGGAAGTATACCGCGGTGTTCTAAAAAGGTATTGAGAAATATTCCCACGATTTTACCGCACCCACTTTTTGGTTAGTGCGTTTTTCTACCCTAATCGAACAAATTTATGATCTCATGAGTTTTGGGCTTGAGTCCCGATAAGTCACCGGCCGCCTATCAACAATCACTCCATTTTATTCATCGAGAGTTGAGTGATGGCGAAAAACACGATCAGTCTCAATCGATAACGGGATGTACGGAAATAATAACTGGTTTTATTTTCGTTTCACGATGGAGGCTGGAGTAATTCCCACTGCATTCGAAGTCAAAATAGGCGTATCTTTCTACACCCAACCGGCAACATATCCCAGTTAACGAAGGGCCTCAAGCGAAGTTTTCAACTTACAGCTGAATCGACTTGGAAGTCGAAGCACAATGGTGCTGAGATGGCCTCCGCCATGTTGAGTATTACACAATATATGTACCGGAAAATACCTCCAGGAGCGACCTGATAATTCAATCCGATTGGGGGACACATTTCCAGGTCGACCTGGCGGATGGTTCTGAAAGTTACGCCTACGCTGAATAGTGATGTGGGTCCGAACTATTAGCTATTCGTTGCATTTCACAGGTGAGTCTATGTCAACCGCCCACGCATCAGAACCATTCTAGGTGAATTCTTGACGGTATTTCATGGCACACCATAAAAAAGAGTGCACAACGAGTACTCTACCGAACACGTCCACGATGTGGACTCAAATCAGATTTGGCACAACTTCCTAGTACCTAAGTAGAGAATATATAGGTTTAGATGGGTTCTGTCTGTTCAGGAGTGAATGTGATAGTTTTTAATCCGGATAGTTGTTAATTCATGCGGTGTAAGTCATTTTGCGGAACACTTTCGAGTCGGTGAACCGCTACAGCATCGAGCAATACCACTTTTTAAGCGCCTCCACAGACTTGCATACTTGTCCGGGTTTGAGGAAGTGTCGGAGCTTCCAAACTTTGCAACTCTGGTAGCGTGGTAGCGGGGACAAAACAACTACTACATGCACACAAAGTGCAGCCACTGTCCTTTCAGTTGTACAGAATTCCAGTGACAGACTGTAAACAGGATGAAACGAGCTTCCGGTAATAAAACACAAGTCCAGACTGCGCATCCGTCACGGATAAATAATGGATAAAACTGAGTAGTTGGTAGACAGCAGACGGAAAAGTATTACAGAATTAACAAGGACGAAGCGTTTCAGATAACCAATAGACCTGACCAACAGTGTTACAGTAGATGATTACTCCCAACGTAAGTCATTAGTAGTACATAGTACTACAACGACCACGTGTCAGCCAGAGTCCCAGGGGCTGTTGTTCTCTTCCGAAAACGCAATTAGCTCACTGACTAGGGTTAAACTTGGTAAAAGGGTAGTTGTACTTACACAGTAGTACGGAAAACCAAGTTGAATCTGTGGCAGATATCCACAAGTCTAAATTCTCGATATTTGAATTATTCCCATCCAGCCCTGCACAACCTCTCAACATTTCAAAATTTTAACTTCCTAGTGGTTGTTTGGCGGCTTGACGTCGAGATAACGCCAGGACTGCATGCGGTGGTAGAGAGGACATCGAGCTGTACGAAAACGCTAAGCATTCTTTACGAAGCTACAGATGCAGTTTTTCCGCTGACAGGGATCTCAGTGAACAGTACAACAGGTAGTGAGGGTAAAAATATCTCCAATCTAGCTCGCCTGGCACATTCGGTTGTCCCGGATATTGAAAAACTCAGGAGATAAGTTTGGTACCCTGCGCAACGTGTTTGACGGGGTTACAAACTACACGTGTAAATCACGAATAATCGTTCAACTGTAACTCCCTCCGGTGCCTAATTATCATGCCACCCGAGGGCTGAGATAGTGGCGGGTTGTCCAAGCTTAGATGGGGGCAACGAGATGCAGAGTTTGAGTTCGAAACACGGACATTGCGATTAGTAAATTCGCGCTTTAAACACAGATCCATCTCGAGTTCGCTGTTAATATGTAGATATCGCCAATAGCATGAGTACCACGCCCAGTACAGGCGTGACAATACTGACATAGTCACAAGGAACTAAATGAGCAGATTAAAACTAAGAGATTAAGTCGTCCACATTAGACAATTTTGAAAGTTGAGGTATTACAACTTTAGTCAGACCGCAATGACAAGGTGTACCACGACTCCCCAACAGTAACGTTACCACGGAAAATTCATTGCAAAAATGTGAGTTCTTCAGTCACGTTTGGTACATTGGAACAGTATACAACACAAAGGACAAGTATGCCCGAGTAAATTGAGCTCACAACCCAGTCCTCCCCACACAAATGTTGCTACTTGCTCTATCCTTGCAAGGGAGTCACAACAATAGTGGAATTTTTTGGTGGCGATCAGCCCACAGTACTCCGCGCTGATACTTACATGACGAGGATTCAACTGTTGTGTGCTCTCACAATCTGTCAAAACACTGGCAACACGACGTTCGTTCCTTTCGGACACCGCTGTCATAACTTTGAAAACCAGCATCGATCACACATGTCAACTGTTAGGTATCCCCCCCAAAAACCTACTATCGAGTATAGGGGTACCGAATCGAACATAAACACTGTACTCTGATTACTAATTGGTTTTCGTGGTCACCTCAACGGTTGTACAAAGGATGAGCGGGGTCCATGGAGCGGTGAGTTGCTGGCTACGTTCTGCTAAGTTGGGTATATTGGTGCTGTATTATTAGAGATAGGTTAGTATGGGTTAATAGTTAGCAAAGAGTTGGAAGGTCAATGAGAGAGGTGCATATTGGCAAAAATTAACAAGAATGAAGTGAAAACAACCCAACGAGAGACTATGACCTGAAACTCATTAGGAATCGCATGATCGTATCGCATATCTGACAGTAGATCTGCTCAGACTGCTCTGTTTGTGATACGGTTCAGGGCGCATACAACAGAACAAAAATGCAGAGACAGACGGAACCAACACACGACCAAGTCAGGATTTGTGTTTGATAGGAAACAGGACACTCAGAGCCAATTCATCTTAAGGATCTAACCTGTAGGTTAGATAAGAGTAATATGACGTGTGTAGTTGGTACCGCCAGGTCGTAAGGAACAAAACAAGTAACGAGTTGACAATAGGGTTGGACTTACTCGCTGTATGTCCTGTGCTTGAAGAATTTCGGGACAATGAATCACCTGAAATACTGGGGTAGGGACGTGAATGTGAAATGTCCTGAGAAACTATAGCAGAGCCTTTCGAGTCCCCAACGTCCTTGATTGATGACAACAAAGGCGAAGTAACATTGGTCTCAGAGCCTCGCTCTTTCTGGGATTCAGTTTGTGGGGGTACCCATGTGGACTCGGTGTTGGAGTGCGGAGCACTGAAGTAGGAATTGAAATGGGTTGAAGCGCTGTTGCCGTAGGCTGGAAAAGGACTGTCTAAACCTGGGGAATGTGTAGGACTGGAAAAGCTTCGGTCAGCCATGTAACTGCTACTTCCGCTATCACTACCAAGGCCGCTGAGAAATACGTTGCGATGCGGAAGCGGATATCGGATGGACGGTCTTCCTTGCGTTGTAGAGATGTTCGTGTCTGTGCTGGAAGTGACAGGAACTGGCGATGTTGAAACATGTAGTGCTTGATGAGGTGCTGGTTGTGAGTTGTGTTGATTAGGATCAGATGGCGTACAGGAATAAGTTTCGGTAACTGCAACAGAGCCGGGTACACCGTAATAGCCCGAGGAATCGGTTTGGACTCCATGTGTGAAGGAATCAGCCATACCGGCAGCGAAACTGATCGGAGCAGGCGGTTCGCGCTATGAGAGAATGAAAGGGATTAGAGTGATATATAGAGAGATACCTGATAATCGAATGGAATGTGTAACCATCAAAGCTAAGCAAATAAGAATGAAGGCACACAGTCAAGCAAAATCTTGTACAGTGAAAACACGGTGATTCATGTGAAATACATGGAAAAATTCTGAAAAATACGGCAACAGTTCCCCACAGTTAAGACTAGATGGACTAACGAGTAAAAACAAAGGAGAACAGAATACTGATTAGCGAATGCAGCAGAGCTACTCAAATCCTACAGGCAATTAAGATTCGGATAAGCCCAAAACAACTTGAGTGTGACAAGTGGGATGTGCGTTTGAGCAGAAAAGGACAAGAAAAAATGGTAATGAAGGGAGTGTGGTATGCGAAGTATACGACAAACAGACGCTATAGACAAACGCACGCGCAGCTGCATTGTTCTCTATCCCCAGAGGAACTATAAATAATGAGCAACCGGACCAGCGCAGAAAAAAAACTAGGGAAAGAAAACCTAATTTTTCAACCAGCCACATCCATTATGTTCGGACTTGTTTGTCGTGAAATTCGTAACGTTCCTTAAAAACAGTTATTTCAACTTGCAATGTGCGGATATGGATTCGAGAAATTCTGTATTATAAAAAGTTTACGGATAGGGCCCGGTCAGTTTTGTTTGACAGCTGAATGGTTGAAGTGAATTATTCGAAGCTTAAGGCAATGCGACAACAGTTGTTGAAAGACAATGCAGTCCGCCATCACAATTTACAAAACCGGATAGTAAGGTGGCGGAGAGATAACCTTGTGGGAAATATGCATATGTCACCAAGATAGAAAACCTCTGAAACATAACGAGTCAGGTTAGTTGTATAAGCAGAGACCAGGTGTGTGTTTCGAAAGATCAGTTATTCAAAAAATATACCCTAAGGACCCGTGAGTTCGGATCAAAAGAATGGAGCAATCAACATAATCATTTTTATTCCGCTGCATGTGATTGAGGCAGCACACAATGGGAAAATTAATCACTAGAGCCCCCCTGTATAAAGTGATGGCGGAAAACCAAACCTAAAAACATGACGTTAAAATTAACGACTGAAGTCGTACGAACTTAGTGGGCGTTGTAGGTTGGCAAAAGCCACCTGATCTCTAGTCGAAGGTCATCACATGTAACTGCACCGGGGTAAGTTTGTCAACCACACCGTTCAGCTTGTGTGCAAACAAGTCGTTCCACTCGGGGAGGATGAGAAAGGATGTTTTGAAACAAATAATTTTTCGCAGAACAGCTGCAGGTGAATACCGATAATCTAATCTCTGTTTGGATTGATCGTCACTAAGCGATGAGGATGGGTCCGGCGTAGTAATTCAGCCACTGATATAACTTGCGATACTGGCCAGATTCTAGTGCTGCCACGGTGCTGCGGATTACCCAAGTGAAAGTTCGGGCTTTCAAAGTCAGGGAAATCGAAGGAGAGCATGAATCCCCCGTACTGTGAGACATTGCACTACGTGATTATTTACATGTAGAGTTATACTGCCCTCAACACCATCAATAGTAGCAACCCACGGTGTCATAATAATGAACCAGGATTTCTATGTGTACAGCGAGAGAGGTGCTGTCTTTCCATAGAACTCAAAAGAAAAAGATCTAACCCACACAAGCACACTATTATAATCCAGGGGCGAACCAATAATCTAACCAAAACGATTTAAAAGAATTTATCCGGAGCCTGGTGCAGTCACAGAAGCATCTGGAGCAATATTAGGAGCATGAGCCGATGTACTTCCTGAACTACCGGGTCAGACAACCATCAACTCTCAGCAAAATCTTTGATTCTCACTGCCGGATAAGATCATGAAATCAGAGGCTTTGGAAAAGGTTTAACGAGACTTTCTCAGGAATGGTCTTCAATGGCAGTTTGACAGGGTCCCACGGAATGGCGGATTAGGATCGAAGCCACGTTACAAGCAGTACAGATTCGCATGCATGGGAACCCTCAGTGGTATGTGTTAATCCCAGTCAAAACAGGCTACAGCACAGTATTAGTCTTTGTATACAATCTCTTACACCACATTACAGTAGGGAGGCGGAACCTAAACCAACCACACCGACTTAAAATCTTTGAACCACCACCGAGCCTGAAACAGATCAGTGGTTAAGGCGCGAACATGATGACCGTGATTCAAGACAAACCTCGGCATCCCTACTGCTCTAGTCTAGGCTTGGGCATCCTGGTAGTATCTCAGCCCTCGTCTTCTCTTCAGGTGGCAAAGCAGCTAGGCACCGAAAGGATGTTACAACTGGACGATTACTATGATTATTACTACAGCAACACCAGTGGGATGTTTTTCATGACTGGTAGGAGCAAATTTTTAATAACTGTTTAACAGGGTGGAATTCACTGTCTATAAGGTCGAGGTTTACGTGCCAACTACGTCAAGGCATATTCTACGAATAAATGGTGACCAACCACCTCAGAGGTACCGTTCGCAGGCGAAATAAAAGATCCAGAAACGGGTTGAGAAAAAAAGGGAGGTCAATACAGCTCGACTTGGCTTTGTTTGATCCTACCCACTGCGTGACTGGACACTATCCAGTTCTTCACTGGTGTCCTCTTTATGATCTTCCATACATCATGGCAAACGACCCTATAACTTTATTAGATATCCCGACAACTGAAGTATGGAGCTCAAACCTGTGACCAAGCGAAATCCCGGCACAGTCATGTTTGAAAAACTAGCGTTGGTTTTCGGGAAGCAGAACGATCGACACTCGATAGAGGAACCGAGGGAACCACTACGTATACACCAGCTCCACGAAAAGCTGGTGGAAACGACTTCAGTTACCCATGTACATAGACTGTACGAGCGAAAACTGTAGTGAGATCGGCTTCGTACATATATTGATAGGCCCAATAAAATCAAGCAATGGATTGAGGTAAATTTGTTCTACTTTCCAGTCAGTAAGTTTCGGACACCGGCGCAGTCTGACGGGAGAAAACGTCGGTGGAATACTAACGACTCATCCGTTATCGCCAAGAACGATGAACTGACGGAGGGCGACCGGGAACAGCGATAGGATTTTGTGGCGATTCGTAAACGTGATTGATCGATTGATCATTCTTTACGTCAGAGCCTGATTAGAACAGGTGATACATTAATAAATTTTCATGCATCAGTCTGCGACCCAATCAAAATTTTCTAAACCGGACTGTCAATTGTTAAAGTTAGATTAAGCATAGCACACAGCGGTTACTGAAGTGGTCTTCGAGACCGGCCTCATGCGAATCACGCGTATTATGAGGAAACACTCCATGTAGGAGGCACTTCGGCATGTTCTGAAGGTACTTATTTGTGGGAAATATAGGGTACCAGAAAACTTCTATGTCCAATCATAAGGTACGGGTTGCATAATGAGACGGACTCAATTCGGACCTTTGCGTTTTGTGTAAGGAATGGACCTAATATACCTCAGAGATGAACACTGTTCAGTGAACCTATAATGTCAGTTTGTCCTGTTATCATAATCCTAATGATCAAAATGGTTGAGGAAATATAAGCCAATGAGCGTTGTGGAATGACAACAGTGGAGGTACCACGACAAACTGTCTCGAACTAAAGCTGAGAGCTAGAAATACAAGGAATTTCATCCATAAAGGTGCATGCGACTGAAACTCTGAAATTCCACCGAGAGACAGTGACCCTTAGTGAAGGCACAACAACAGCTCGTAGGCGGGTAGAGTTGCATGAATAAACTAAGCATCACAGTATGCTCTCTAGGTCAACGAGAAAACAAAACCCACCCCCTCAGCTGTGAATCATACCTTACGGATGTTGTTCGGTGTAAGAGGAATCAGCCGAGACAAGCCGCTACGCCTGTGCCGATCGGGTAGAGTATCAGGTAAAAAAGGTGAGCGAGCAGTGTATTCAATCGTTACCTGATCTGGGTCACGGTAACGCATTGCGAGCGACGATTTGCGGCAGTTGGGGATAGGATTAGAGGCACGCACCCATCTCAGGTAGTTTTCATGTGTGCGGATAAGTGATGATTTGGGCAGAAACACCAAACGACACTCACAAACTCCATGAGCTAACGGGAAGGACAGGACACGTTTCCTTGGTGCAATCTCATATGGCTCGTTGGAGGGCGCAAACAACATACCATTAGAATTTTTGAAATGTTGCGAGGGCCTTATGTTAGTTGAACCGTGTTCGCGGGTACCGATACACGACAGAGAATACACAGGGCTGTTGTATAAGCGAGAGGAGGGACCAAGCAAACAGCAACAAGGCGAAAAAATATCTGCAGAAGTTCGGCAGGCAAGTATTCCTACTGGACAGGGTCTGTAGAAGCCACAATGACATTTGCCGATGTCCTCTTCCGAGGTCATAGCATCGAACGAGTATGCATGCGGCGTGTAATATACCTGACCACGACCAATCCAATGGCTGCGGAAAGGCGATAGCTACGGGACCAATGAAACAGTTCCATTTTCCCCCTTCAAGCTAAACATACGAATCACACACAACCAATAGAGAATGGACGTCTCAATCGGGGGAAAACTGCTGAAAATTGTGTGGGAAGATCCAGAATCGAGCAAGATTCAACAATAGACACGGTACTCACTGCCTAAGGAGTTTCTCCGAACCACTATCAAATGATCATGCACATCAGTCTTAGAAGATAGAGTATTCGTCCTTCCGAAATATGATCATTTGTCCAGTGTGACCGAATTTGCTTGAATTTTTTCAAGCAGTCATAAACAAACTGAGAACAACTTAATGCAAGCGCCGATCGCAAATCGTAAAACCGAGCGTATCTGACTCTGCATGCAAATGGCTACTTGGAACCACGGGGAGAGAAAAGTGCAAAGTGATGACCAGGCTCACCAACGAGAAATAGCATCTTCGCAAGGGCCCCAGTGATAAAGATCAATAGTCATCATCATGAGCTTCGTATGTAGATGAACAATCGCTTTGTCACACGATATTCTGCGGTTCGCAGAAAAATAGAGTGCACGCATTTGCTAATCTGCTCCAACCTGGCAGATATAGTCTTCCTTACAATAAGAACGTTTCGGACAGTCCGAACTTGTTTCTCAAGACAAAATTATTCTGATTCGGGGAAAACATTTATTGCGAACCACTCCAAAGAGATATATTTGTTGTTGCGGCGAATTTTTGTTCACTTCGGTGTATTCTCACAGAGGGAATCGCAGTAGAATTACACCAGCTACCACAGTCTGTGACAGGGCTTGTGTTGGCTGTCACAGTCGGCTTCCTGTCAATGTTCAAACACCACAACGGTGCAGCAACCAGCACGATATGAAAACCATAAGAACAAAAGTAATTGCACACAAACTGGGCAATAATGGAAGGTATGCTGTCGTGGAGAGTGGTTACAAATGAAGATACTGACACGGTGGGGCTATGTTGTTACCGACCGGTATCAGCAGCACTTCTGCTTCCCAATTTCGAATTTCCTTCATTTTCTCAGCAAGATCCAAATAATCCTTCACGTTTTCAGCGACCAAGGGCAACACGTGGGTTCACGATCCTTGGTTGAAAAACGAAGTGCATAGGAGCTTAACTATGACCTGGCACTTCCATACCTACAATCCTGCAATGCCCAACCTCGGGGAACAGACCAACGACCACCTATACGACCTTGTCGAGCAAGGTGATTCGGGTTTAGCGGTTGGTCGTTCACCCTTGTACGTTGTAGGACATGCGCACTTCGTAGGCATCAGGCTGGTCAGGAACTCACGCCATAGATATCATATTTCGTCAGCTGTGAAAAACAAACGATCAGACAGACTTTTAATGATATCAAGGAAACATTATATTCCTTCATTCAAAGGATGATAAGTCCAGGGTACTTTCAACTAGCTTTGGTTCGATTGTTAAATGAAACTGACAGAAGCGCATGGGAGATTAACCGGGTATACCAGGGTAGCAATGACGTTTGATGAACCTATTGGGCCTGGTTCATGACTGAACATCCATTGATGTTGGTAGTTGCATATTGCTCCATTAGATGACTGGCTGAACTGGGTATTAAACAAATCGTTGGCCACAAGATTGTGATTGGAAACAGCCTATTTACTGAAAACCCTGCACTGACAGCCGAAGATAAAAGCAAGTAAACAAAGTTTCCGGCTTCTATAAGCAAAGTATTAGTGATAAGACAGCCGTAGGGATATATATATATATATATATATATATATATATATATATGAGACTGAGCACCGGACATAATAAACTATATTCTGCTGTGGCGAGATTCTTTTCGGATAGAAAGTATTGCAATGACAGACGTATTTACGTGCCCTTCCACCCAGAAACATGTTACCACAAGCTAGTACGATTTATCCGCACGTGGGATGTTTTGCTACCTTTCCATGCTTTTTACAGAATCAATTAATCGTTCTCAAAAATGCCGCTGCTTGGGACAAAGCGGTATTTTACCAACCCAAATTCCTCGTCTACTTACTGGACAAATAAAATTCCACAACTTTGCCATCAGGCCAGTCGGTATAAACTAATTGGTCGACGAATTTTTTACATTCGGTGGTATGAGGACTACTGACTATCCGAAAGGAGTACGGAAAATGTGTAGGAATCCCTAGCCTAGCTGATTTCTAGAGTGGACGAGACTCCGGTCATATGAAGGGAATTCGGTAGATATTTTTGGGATCTCAAAGAAAAAGTTGCTTCAATTACACCTAAAGAGGTTAATCCGGTAGCAGATGCTGTGAAACATAGAGGAATGAGAGATACTTGGTTGCTTTTGTAAGGAAAGAACCATCAACACAATTAAGCACTACTCAAAACTGACACGGGGAGATGAAAAATGGCAAATTGGAGGAGCAAAAACCTACCCAAAGAGATAGTAGGTTCGGTGCCGACAGACTGACAGTATTACGCTTCATTCGCAGCAAACTGCTCGTCGCCGAATGACTTGCGTTGAATGGCGCTGTAATAGTAAAAGGTAATGGAATACTAGAAGTGTAGTGTAGTGTGCAGCGAACAAAGGCGTACGTCAGTGCAACTGCATTTGGCCGGGTAGTGTATTGATCAAATTCAACGGGTAGTTGTATTGTCCACAAAAAATACGTTTCAAAGCAATGCGCCGATCACTGTGGCAGACCATACTTGATTACTCTAATGTAAGCAAGCTGGCTGCTGTGTTGAACAGTGCGGAGGACGGAAGTTCGATACGTTTCTGAACAACAGATGCGATACCGCGATAAATCAGAACAGTAACGAAAACCGATACTCATGTTGGTTAGGAACACGGCACAGCATAGTCGATTTGGTACTACCGGGCATCACTTCAGGGCTATCAAGACTTGAGGGGAGAATTGTGAGTACCGAGGCAACTAGTCCATAAACTATTGAAAAAGCGATCCAAATATGGTTTATGGTGTTAGAACGTGCATAACTATTTGTGGAACTTCAACCGTGCAAGAATCTATGACCGACAACCCATCGGCAAATGAAGAGGGGGTACTCCTGGAATTTCCAAGAAAGAATAAACGAAAGGTGAGCTTGTTGCAATAGGCTAACCGGCTTAAAACGATCCGACTGCCGAGCAATTCGCTCGCATAGAGTTCTGTCTCTTCCGCCAACGCAACTTTAGGTAGACTGGTAATCAATGGAGTGGTTGAACCGTTGGGATAAATACGTGAGACGCGTTGGCAAGGTGAACCCACCCCGCTGTCGAGTTGTGCCGCAGGAAATATGCACTTGACTACAGACCAAAGTTTGTGGTGGATAGCGGCCGCCAGATGGCCATCATTAAATGGCAGTCAGAAAAAGGCTTCTCTCATCTTTCTATTATACTTCTTTTTTGGCTTCTCAACATACACTACATCGCTGTATGATTTCGAACCACTTTGAGGGACGACACAATTCACAGGATAGTTGTCTATAGCATCTGGCATATATGTTATTCTCCTTAAACAGGATCCTACAAGGGGATATTGTTGAGTATCCGCCTAACGGCCAAGCTATTGACTTTGAAACTAACTACGTGTTTATAGTCAATGACCACAGCCTCCTGATGAATCTCAGTAAGAAATACAGGCACCAATGCAATGTGGAGGGAAACTGTTCCTGTCTGCAGTAAAGCACGCTTTGAAACTCGTAGGCAGGTATATTAAACAGTTAAATCGACAGACCATCAACACTAACCGAAGGGCCCTTGTGTGAAACAATGCCATTCACCCAACTCAATGACCCCTAGAATAGAATACTTTTGCTCAGTTTCTTCAGGGGCAAATGTACTAGTTCCAACGCAAAAAGCGAACTGCACTTTCGTACACTTTTACGGTTAAATTACGCCATCTCATCAGCGGTAATTGATGATGGGCGGTAATTTAAACACGAGCCTGGGGACCTAACAATGTTTGTGAAAGTCAAGCTAGATATTTCTACACCTGACTTTCATTCTCCTTAATTTTAGACACACTATACGCATACACTAAGCAGTTTGAGCACGAATTTACTGGCCGGAAGGTCCGTGGTTCGAAACCGACCATTGTCTCTCGACCTCCTCTTTCTAGGCTTGGACAACCTGGAAGTATCCCAGCCCTCGTGCTTCCTTCGGATGGTATAGCACCTAGGCACCGAAAGTGTGCTACAGCTGAACGATTTTTTCAACATCCCGTTAGGAAGATATTAGCAGGCCGCGCAAGTAGCAATATGCTGTTAGTCGGTTTGTTCGCTGAACTCCACTATGCGCCCTAGCAACGCCCTGATGATTTCACCTCGATTGGTGACGAAAAGTTTGCGTCAAATCGCCCAGCTCACCAACGACGGTCTACGGTACCTAAACTACTACCTGATGATTCTCGATTGGTGACGAAAAGTTTGCGTCAAATCGCCCAGCTCACCAACGACGGTCTACGGTACCTAAACTACTAACACCCTCCTCAATAGAAAATAATGTGAGCCGGCCGGACACAGCGAATGGAATGTACGAAAGGAAGCGACCATTCGTGCGATGAATAACAAAAAATTGCCACAAGAACCCATTGCATCTCCCTTACCTCCATGGAAGGGTCCGTGAAACATAATCGAGGGCGATGCTTGGGAGTTGTATGTATTTTGTCTCTGAAGGGTCGACGTCCTATGTGCGGCTGCAGAGCTCGGAAAACGTGAGGAATGGATGGGCATGCTGACAGAAGAGCTGGAGCTGGTATTGCCCTGTCGGCCAGAAGAATACAACTCAGACTTCTGTGAATTCGGACGCCGAAGACTTGGCTTTCTAGGGGATCGTGATCGGTCTGAACTAGCCAGCTCAGATACAGAGGGGCGGTAGACCGTTAGTCCGGGGATAGACGTGGGCGACGGAGGTACTTGGAACATTGAGGCATCTGTGCCATCACAGGAAAAAATGTGTTGTGTCCCAAGCGATTCAGAAACAGAGGCGGATGTAGATCTTCCTCGATGAGTTAGATATCGAGAGTCGAACGCACCCAGCGAGGATGTACGATGGATTTCCGAACGAAGCCCGACTGTAGGTAACAGACGAAAGTTTGGTTTATGAAATGAGTGATAGGAGTCTGTTCTTGATCCCGCGAACCCAGTGTTGTGTAGGGACGAAGGAACTTCACGAGATTCGTCCGAATGCTGCAAAAATATATCACCGGGAACAGGAGAACGGCCACCACTACGGACGTGTCGAGTGTCATTTGACGCTCCGGCAGGCGGTCTCCTTGTCGAATGATATGAAGTACCGATGTCAGCGATCCCCTTCGTATGCCCTCTAGTGAACGAGGCCCAGTCCGAATGCTAAGCGGAATGTGGGTAACAAAATGATGGAAGAAGTTTAGAGACTAGTGGACGTGGTTGAAAGTGAATTGAAAACTGAAAACAGAAGTGCGGACTCGCAAATTTCTCTAAAACAGATGGAACAGATCAGAGATGTTGTCGGTCACCTTAGAGTTTTTCAGCTTGCTGAATGATGGTTTTAACAGAATATTAAAAGTGTATTAGAAAGAGCAGTCTTGTTTCATGAAAGATACTATGTCCATAGTTGTGGTTGACACTGAGAAAAGTGTACCGGTGAGGAGAGTCTGCCAAAGGAGTCGAAAATTTGCAATGCCCATCGCACAACCCGGGTGGCATGCGGGGAACTCAGCACAAAAACTCAGACACAAATAGGTATTGAATTATGTTAAATCACATAATGTTTTGTACGTGTATCCATTTTGTGGGCGTAGTATGACAGTAAAGTGACGTGACACGTATACGTCACGCCTTCCATTGTGAAAAAAAACAAGGCGGCTAGGGCCTCTAGTTGTGGATAGACCGCCTTGAGTATTTTAAAAAAGGTTCAGTTGAGTTTTCCAGCTACGAACGGTGCCTCGAAGTACAGTGGTTCCAGCTGCTACAGCTCCGTCCACCAACGATAAGGAAAATAAGGGTGGAGACTCGCGCGTTGGAGATTCAATCAGTTCAGTGAAGTTGGCTCGACATGACAGGATTGAGGGCTACACAGTGAAAACGACAGTTCTGATGCAGGATAGCCACTACCTACGTGATATAACCACACATATCAGCGTCACTAATCACTGGTTGGTCTCGCCTCAAGGTCCCCATCCGATGAGACAGCACTTAACAAGGCTAGCGGGGGGAGATGGCTCAGTAGTTAGAGGGCTAATTTACTGACCGGAAGGTCCGTGGTTCGAACCCGACCTCTGCCTTTGGATTTCCGCTGCCTAAGCAGGGAATACTGCCCTGGGAGTATCCCAGCAGTCATGCTTCCTCCAAATGGCATTGCAGTTGCGTACCCAACGGGTGATAGAGCTGAACGTTTTTTTTCAACAAGGTTAGCCGATTAGTCGACTGGGAAGAACTTTCATGATTCGATACTAAGTTATTGTGCTGTTTATTTGACAGAACACCTAACGACGGAAGTAACCAGTCGACGGGGTGAAGGTCTGATAGGCAGACAGGAAATAAGACTTGAGGGTCTGAAAATGGCCATTAGGAAAAAAGAGTGGTTCCCTTGTTTAATAAGACATTCGTAACCTAACGAACGATGGAACCACTTGATTTCGCGGTATGCATGCCAGGTAATCCAAGCATTAAAGAATATCACTGCATGATACTGCGTGGAAGCGTAATAAGGAATAGTTGGTAAAAGCAACCGATTTACCCCTACAAAGACCCTTAGAAGAGGACAGGGAACAGCAAGATGAACCGCATTTGACGCAACAGAAGGCTTTGCACACCATGTGGTGGCTCAATGCATAGCGATGAATCTTTCTGATAATTGCTCTCTTGGAATTTTCAGACGAAGGCGCTTGTCTTTTCAGACATCCCATACAGGAATCGGAACGTAAAAACTTAACGATGGTTTATGTTCACACAAATGTCATGTGAATTTGGAAAAAAATGGGTTAGATACCAGTTCGGCGCTAAACTACTCCGACGCCAGATGTCACCCGCTAAAAATGACAAACAAAGCTTAGCTCATTTACCGTTCGCGTGAAGATAACCATGATCCCATGTTTACTATCTCCCTGAAACGGAAATGGCAACCAGTGTGAAGGCAAAGGAGCACATGCACACACCTGATATAGGCAGTAGGTACACACAGGCAAACGAGCACTTTCTTTGTAGAGGAGAATTAAACATTACTACTACCCACAAAGATCATCAAACCTACAGTAAAGGAGAATGACAAAAAACGTAGCAGGCTGGAACTTGCTTCCGGCTTTGTCGGTTATACCTTACTACCCTAATGGAATCCTGTGCACAATGGGCCATGCCATGGGCGGTTTACACCTGGACTTGTGCCACTAGCTGAACCTGGTGTAGATCCGAGGGGATGAGACCAAAATATGAAAAGGAGACGCTTATAAAGTTCCCAGCACTCCTAGCTGACGGTCCATAATGATAAAAAATCGTTCAGCTGTAACAACCATTTCGGTGCCTAGCTGCCATGCCACCTGAAGGAAGTATGACGGCTGGGATACTGCCAGGTTGTCCAAGTCTAGACAGAAGTCGAGATGCGGGGGTCAGTTTCGAACCACGAACCTTCTGATCAGTAAGCTGCGTCCTAACCGCTGAGCTATCTAGCCCATAATGAAGACAAATGAACTGTTGGAAGTCACAGTGTAGGTGAAAGGTGATCGGGTGACTTATGATACACATAAGGAGCACTCAGGGCACACACGTATGTCTAGCTATTTTTAGTCACTCAGCTCTCTGGTTTGTATGACGGTGATCACATAAATTAACTTTTACAGCAAATGTAAACTTAGCAGTCCATGATAAATTAAACACAATGCGAAATGAGACAATTTTCTACGACACGTACAAAATGAATTTAGGTTACCAATGTGAAAAAGAGTCAACCTCACAACCCATGAAAAAGCCCGAAGTGGGAACCACCTAAGGCGCTCCCCCTGACGACAGTAAGGACTGCCTTAACACATTTAACGCCATACGTCAACCAGAAAGCCTACATATAAGATTGTATGACAGTTACACCGGCCTCGAATGCTAACCCTCTACATGACAACCTGAACACCCCAAAATGCGGCACCGAATAACCTGATGTCTTCTGTTCAAATAGATCCAGCGAATTCTTCACGTCAATCCACGACCCATTTGATGACTAGTCACAGAAAATAGTCAATTGCCCACAAAGTCTCATTTAAAAAGCCTGGACCCGAGTGGCGTCACCCACCACGAACTTTTGAGAATTATTGTTGGGCCTAAGGCCGCAATTTCCTACCAGCGAAAACCAAGTAACACTTTTTGCTCACTGAGTCAAAGGGATAAGGAAACAGTGAGTCTTCTTCGGATTTGAAGTGTTCGTCCTGAGGACAGCCGCACAGAGGAGAACACAAATATTTTTGTGTACTCCGTTGGGAGTACCTTAATGAATAAATTTGGAGTACTACTTCAATACTGTTAAGAGCGAGATCCCCTTGAATTTATCTATAGGTGGCGAGCTATGGTCTCTGTAAAGGTAAACGTAAAAGTCAGAATATTGAGACACTAAACAACTATGGTCTTTTGTGTATGGCTTTCAGCTAATATACAGCGCGACACATAAGAACGTATTCACTAAGACAGACACTAAGAGCAAAACTGGAGAAAATATGAGTCCGCTGTTTGACAATAGGCACTATCAGTTCGACTAAGGAATCACCTTTAAAGGGCAAACAGATCTGGACCATTTTCTTTCCAGATGATAGTAATATCTGCTTGGGTGTTAAAAACTGCATGGATTTCACACAAAGCGGTGAATGTCTCCCCAGAAGTTTTAAATCACATTTCAGCATCACGTTCGGGCAAATTTTCACCGCTCTGTCGGCCAGAAATCACATGATATTCCTCCTTTGGTTTAGGCGAACAAAACTCTCAAGACTGGATCTACTGTCCTCTCCAGGTCTGCTTTTTTTGTAGTGCCCTCTGAAATATGCCATTGTCTAGAAACCTAATGTAACTCGGGCTTTCTGACTTTGGAGTGAATTTAATGTTCGGATGAGCTTGATTGAATACTGTCAGGATCTCATTTGGACTGAGTTCAACTGAATGTGAAAGTGACTGTATCCTAGACGTACAACCTGGAAAAAGTACATTTTCCCATGATCCAATTCGGCTGATGCCCTTCAAGCTTGCCCATGGACGTATCAGTCAGAAATGAGTCAAGTGGAGAACCATGGCAACACCATCTTTCCGTCTGTTGACAAAATGAAAGGGGAAATTATGCAATCACAGGTTCTGAAACGCTTTCAGAATGTCCGTTGGGATGCCAACATCCGGTCCGTTAGTCCAGTACAAATAAACGGACGATCTATCGTGACACGAAGTAATACACTTATAGTGGCGAAAATCGTTCAGCTATAGCACCATTCCGGAACCTAGCTGCGATGCCAACGGAAAAGGGCAAGTGGGCTGGGATACTGTCAGGCTTCCCAAGCATAGACAACAGCAGTCGAGATGCTGAGGATGGGTTTGAACCGAGGTCCTTCAGGTCCGTAAGCGAGCGCCTTAACCACTGAGCTATCTCGAGCTCTTGTAGCATCACACGGTAGTAAATGCTACGCAGTGTACTGTCAAAAAGTGGATTCTTATTTTCCCCATTTTTAAACGACTTTGCACCAAAGCTACAGCGACCACATCGATTATATCGTACACTGCTTGAGGACCACAAAGAAAACAACAGTGGTCTTCTGGCATGTTATTCTCCGGATAGGTTCGAGCACTTATATCCCGTAGAGTCCGAAAGATAGGCCTCGGTGAACAAAAGAAAATCGTTTGATCCGAAAAGAAAACATGCTTAGAGAAACTGCCGTGCAAAGCGACCCATTTGATGCAACGGAAACATTTTTTGGGATGTGGTTTAGGGTCCCGATGAAAATGTAATGCTAAAAATTGCCTATTTCTTTTAATATAAAAACACGGAAGTTCAAGTACCAAGTAGGTACCAAGTAGTATCAGGATCACCTAAACAACGATCCCGACGATACATACTGGGCTGCATAGATAAGTTATTACTCGGTTAATCTGAGTGCATCAGTACACCGGCACTCAGTTTGCTGTTTGAAATCTTTAGAACAACGGAGGGAGTACGGGTAACAAGATGCGGGCAATGAAATTATGGAGATAGGGTATCCCAATTAAGAGATCCAAGCTGACAACGTGATGTTAGAATTTGGACTCGTCCGGCGAGGGCAAGTGGGACAGTCAGGTAAAATCTTGGCTGACAGTTTGTACTATTGGTTGAGGCTACACAAAATAACCCAGAGAGCCACCAATAAACAGCTATGTGACTAGAAGGCGGCATAAAATTTCGGCTTGAATGAATTTCCAGTCCTCGTGCTACGTAGATTTCGCACCGCAGCTATGCAAAAGGTGTCACAACTAGAGGTATCGATTTCGTCACTCAATGGATGCTTATGTGCAAAAGACAACAAAACGTTTCAGGAAGCTCATATTCAGTTAGCGAGATCGTCTACAGGAACAGGTAAATTTTTAAAGACGAAGAATAGGCACGGTATTCCACAATCTGGATGGTAGTCACGTGAACCAATACCAACCACGTGAATACAATGAGCGCTGGACAGTTTGTCACAGAGACGGTCTTAGCACCCAGAGACTGAATGAGGACATCAAATGCTATGAGAGAAAGACAGGAAGCTACGTGTTCACATGAGCTTACTGTCGCGATCGGAGGGCTTGGAGCGCAGTGCTGTACTACAATGCTAGTGAGAACGCAACCCAGTGCGACATTCGTGTCAGCACTTTGCTATCAGGGGTACAGTGTAGCTGGTTGTGTGGACAAATTTGTTGTCATCACAACGTGGGCCATGTTGGTGGTGCTGAAAATATCACGTTTTACTCCGTGTGTATTTCGGACCGACGGCCTGCAATAGGCCTCTGAAAGTCTACCTACCGATCTTATACCCTCGAGTCCACATAGGCGCCAAGGACTTGTATACAGTACACATTCGGCTGAGCGCAAAGCACAAAATTATGCGGTGTCCGGTAGCTTGCTCACTGTTGACTAGCAAATGCGACTTTGAGGGAGTCGTTCAATCTGGGCTTATGAGACCGGCTTTTTGTTATGACCCTAGGTAACCTGAGTATCAATTTCGGTAGTAAGCGTACCAGGTCACTTGCGTTTCTACCCGCACAACACACGTAAGGATCACAGGCACGGTCAAGGCTTTTGGGCACAACTACCGGTGTTCACCATTTCGCCAGTGATCGCACAACTGAGACGCAATTCAGTAGCGT